AGGGCATGACCGCGGCGGGAGGGGGTAGCGCAGGCCCCACCAGGTGGCCGCAGACAACTAGACGGAGCCATCCATCAGCATGCTCGTGAGTGTGGGCCGGGGCGGCATCGGTGATGTCTGCGACTTTGGGTGGAAGGAGCCAGCGGGGTTGGGGCGAATCGTTGGCGGGCTCCACGTCAAACAGGCGAAAATCGTCCGCAAAAAACCCGCAATGCCGTGCGTCGGGTGGCAACTCCCGCCGCTGGTCGGCAGGGAGGGCGTGACCCAAGGCACGGCGTGATAGGACCCAGCTGAGGAACCAGCGGACAGTATGCTTCTGGGTTCGCGGTGGCGACAAGGGCATGGGGTCGACCGACAAGGTTGCCCGATCAATCAATTTTCCGTTGAAGTCCACTCCTCGCCATAATATTGCCGAAAAAGGACGGGTACCAACGGTCAAGCTTGGTCGTGGCGACCCCAATCCAATGTGGGCAAGCCACGCATTGGCGCAAATGTCGATGCCATGACGTATGGCGGCGACAACACCAAGGTGGCGCGCGCGATCGGAAAGCGACGCAGGACGGACCTATGATGAGACGCGCGGAGGGAGCGGCTGAGCCGGGAGATGACGGACACGAGCCAGTGGAGTGGAGCACCCACGTCGTTTTATTATCGAAACGCAAAGAGGAGGCCAGACCAGGGCCGCCTGAGCTGGGCAAACATCGGGACCAAAAGCGGCGAACAAGCACACCGCAGCTCTGATGCCGGATGGCGTGATGGGGCTCGCTGGTGGTATCGTTGAACTCAGGGCAACGGCAAGATTGGCGATGGACCGCAAGAGACGCGTCTTGCCGTAATTAAAGCCCTGAGCGCAAGAGCGCGGCCATGAGCCATGAGGGCCCAAAGTCAAATCCAATACCAGCGCTTAGGTCACAGGCAGCGCGCAAGAGCGCCTGGAACCCGTGTGGGGCCGTCTTCGGGCTCTCGCGAGGTTCTCCCAGGTCGTCTGAAGGGTTGCCCAGAGGCCCAGGGAAGGCCAAATTCGTTAAGGGGGGAGTTTTTTCCCGGCGTCCCCAGCCCTATAAAAAACATGTGTGAGAAGAGAAAGAGAGAGAGAGAGAGAGAGAGAGAACAAAAAAAGGGATAGAGAGAGAGAGAGAAAGAGAGAAGCGAGCGTCGGCAGAGTCGGGCAAAATACGATGCTCTAGCTCACAAGGGGCGACGTTGAAGACTTCGCCACAAGCTTCAGCTCGTGCTCAATCTGGATAGGTTATCGAAGATGCTGTCGGGGACAACCAACTAGGAGATGTTCTGAGTAAGGTGATCTTGCAGAGCCCACCCCGCAACCTTACCAGGGTGGGCGCGCTGACCGCATACATCATCGCAGAGGACGGTCTCAGCCATCGCCGCTTGCACCCACCAAGGCGGGCATTAAGGTGGTGCTGTCGTCCACAAAAGTGGCACAAAGGCTTCGAAGGATAGTGCGGCGTTGCATCCGCGCAACTTATTTTGTCGGCAGCCACGACAGAACCGCGCTGCGGTGGAGTCGGACCACCTGCGTCTGCAAATGCCACCACGTACTACGCCCGATGCTAAGAAATCCATGTTTGCGTGAAGATCAACCCCAAACAAAAAAACATGACTGCCGATGGTGGACATTTGATTTGCACTGCGTCACTGAAGGGTACCTTTTCTGCAGATGGCGCCGACTGCGAGCGCCGGCTGGGGAAAAAATGCTGAATAATTCATGCTAGCCTGCGAGTGTTCGGAAGTTGTGGCCGTCTAGGTTCATCGAAAATATCCGGTGTTACCCTACGAAGAGCGACGCATACGAGCTCCGCGCCAGCGAGGTCTGCTTCGGCGATGGTCGCACCTGCTGGCAACAGGACGCTGGCCCAGGCTGTTGTCATCCATCGCGCTTCCACCATGGAGTCAAACGAGTCGAACGAGGCTTTCACTATCCAGCCGCGTGAGAACAGGTTGTCGTTGCGACGGCCGCCATCGAACCAGCCTCGCAGTCTTTTTGGTCGCAGGTGCATGGGGCGCCGCCACCACTCTGACGACGTTCGCTGGTCCCTCGCCTTGTTCGCCAACTTGCCGGCCTCCTTGTTAAACTCCCGATGCACATGTCTGTCGGCGGCGAGCCCAGGGGGAGAGTGAGAAGGAAAAGGCCTTCTCGGAAGGCTCGGAAGTCCCCCAGCCTTCTGAGACGTTTCCCAAGCCTTCCCCGAAGGCACAGAGAATTTCTCAGAAGGCCAGGGAGCTTCTGGGAAGCCCCGCCGCCTTCTGAGTGGGCCTTCTGCTTCTCGCTTCCCCCCCCCTCGCTCGCCGCCGACTGTTGCACCCCCGACGCACCGATGTCTGTGGCGGCTGGCCGCCGCCGCGCGCGGAACGACGTGGGCGGCGCGCCAAGGCCCGAGCAGGGCAAGCGCACAGTTCTGGAGGCCTGGCCGTAGTGCGCTGGGCACCTGGTGGCGGCAAGGCAATTGGTGTGGAGGTCGGAGAGGGGTGTGGCATAAAGAGATATGGTGCCAATCGTGGCAACGGCGATGCTATCTGCGATAAACAACATCGCCAGGTTACCCTCTACATGAGATTAGCACCACCCCCCGTTTATACCATATCCCTGTCCTACCTCCAGAATTGAGCCAACTGACGGCTGAAACCCCTGACGACTGAGGCTCGCAGGTCAAGTTTTTATCCCCAGGGCCACACCGAAGAGCAGAGAGAAGGAGAAGACACCCGGGGTCCAGAAATACTGAAACGGCCACGATGTTTCGGGAGCACGCAAGAGCAAATAACTATCTCTGCCGGTCATGAAGAGAGCCAGGGGAGACATTGGCATAAATTTCCCCCCTCCCACACTGTTCAAGGTTGGCACGCTTACACATCCACGCTCGGGCACTCAAACTCGGAAGATCCGAAACCAACATTTCGATGGCAACTCATGGGAGCCTCCCATAACATCTTATCGGCTCTTGCAAATCGACGCTAATCGACGGTAAATCGACGCTCATCGACGCTAAGTCGACGCGAATCGACGCTAATCGACGCTAAGTCGACGCTAATCGGCCCAAGCCGACGCTAAATCGGCGCTATCTCATCGACTCCCAGACGCTAAGCGACGCTAGTCGACGCTAACGATGGAATCCCACCAGCCCTTTGGGCGTGAGTGGTTTAGCGAGCTCTCTCTGTTCTCAACCCCCCAACCCCCCTTCTTCCCCTTCGGGGAGGGGTTTACCCCTCCCCCTACCCCCTCCCCCTGGACCTGGAGAGGGCGCCTCGCGGGTCGTCAGGGGGGTCATTTTCGACTCCTGGGAGGGCTAAAAAACGACATCCCTCTCGAGGATTCTGGCCCCGACAGGGGGAGGCAGAAAAAAACCCTCTCCTCTTCTTTGAAGCCAAAATCATTGATTTTACTACGGTTTTGGCCCCATTTTGGCCTTCTGAGGGGGCAGCGCTCATTACACCTCCCCTCTTCTTTCAAGCCAGAATCATTGATTTTACGAAGGTTTTGGCCCCATTTTGCCCCTCTGAGGGGGCAGCGCTAATTAAAGCTCCCCTCTTCTTTGATCGATTTCCTCCAAGATGGCCCCAAGAAGCGCCCAGGAGGCACCAAGAGGCCCCAAGATGGCCCCAAGAGGCCCCCAGGAGGCCCCCAAGAGGCCTCCAAGAGGCCCCCAAGATGCCCCCAAGAGGCCCCCAAGAGGCCCCAAGAGGCTCCCCCGAGGCACCCAAGACGCTCCTGGAAGCCCCTGGGGCCGCCAAGAGGCCCCCAAGACGCCCCAAACGGCCTCCAAGAGGCTCACAAGAGGCCCGAAGAGGCTCCCCCAAGGCACCCAAGACGCTCCTAGAAGCCCCATGGGGCCGCCAAGAGGCCCCCAAGACGCCCCACAAGGGGACGAGGTGCCCGAACGCCTCACGCCACGAGGAGCCCGAACGACTCACACCAGGACGAGGGGCCCGAACGACTCACACCACGAAGAGCCCGAACGACTCACACCAGAAGGAGGGGCCCGAACGACTCACACCAGGACGAGGCGCCCGAACGACTCACACCACGAGGAGCCCGAACGACTCACACCACGACGAGGGCCCCGAACGACTCACACCACGAGGAGCCCGAACGAGTCACACCAGGAGGAGGGGCCCGAACGACTCACACCAGGACGAGGGGCCCGAACAACTCACACCACGAGAAGCCCGAACGACTCACACCAGGACGAAGAGCCCGAACGACTCACACCACGAAGAGCCCGAACGACTCACACCAGGAAGAAGGGCCCGAACGACTCACACCAGGACGAGAAACCCCAAACGACTCAAACACGAGGAGCGCTTTCTCTCCCTCCTCCTCCGCCTCGTCCTTCTCCCGCTCCCCCCACAAGGAGGATGTACAAGGAGGCGGGAGGAAGGAGGAACAGGGGAGATATGCGGGGCCAAGCGGACACACGCCTGAAAAACACGACTGTCGGCATGCTTCGCAAGAGTTGCTGTTGTGAGATGGGCTGGTGGGGATACGCGAAGCGTAAAGAATTACGAGGATTGCTACCGAATTGCATTCGGGGGAAAGGCGGGGAGTCCAAACCACTTGTTGCGCGTGTGCTCGCGGCCGTCCGATGGGGCAAAAATCTGCCATCCACATTGAACGCCCGGAGGATGAGGATGAGGATGAGGAGGAGGAGGAGGAGGAGGAGGAGGAGAAGGAGGAGGAGGAGGAGGAGGAGGAGGAGGAGGAGCAGCGAGTCGACATATCGACACATCGCGGCGCAGCCCGCCAAAATTAAATCGGGGGGGCGCTTGGGGAGAAAATCACCATAGATGGTGCAGGATTCGGGCATCAGTCGAAAGACGGACAGCGAGGACGTCCGTGGGGCAGCCAGCATGGGCGGCAAGCTGGAATCTAATGTCTGCAATGAGGACACCAAGAAGTGGCTACCGATCCAGAGCCAAACGTCTACGCCGAGGGGAGGAGCGCTTGGCGCGCGTGCTCCACCCTGAGATCGGAGGAAGAGGAAGACGACGAGGGAGAGAGAAAGAGAGGAGGGGGAGATGGTGGGGGAGGGGAACGAGAACGAAAACGAACACGAGAAGGGGAGATAGTGAGGGGGAAGATGGTGAGGGACAGAGAGAGAGAGAAAGAAAGAAAGAAAGAAAGAAAAAGAAAAGAAAAGCAACATAACAAAACAAATGAGAGAGAGGGGGAGAGGTGAGGGAGAGATGGTGGGGGAGAGATGGCGGGGGAGAGATGGTGGAGAGACGGTCAGGGGAGAAGAGAGGGAGGGACGGTGGGGGAGATGAACGAAAGCGACAACGAGAGCAAGGAAAAGGCGAGCAAGAACAGCAGCGACAACGGCCACCACAACGACAACGAGAGCGACAAGGATGAGGTCTTGCGAGCTGTCAGCATATGGGCTTCAGGCTTGTCTTTTTGTCGGCGGCGACTTGGTTCCAGGCCGCGGCCGGGACAGCGGGCGACGCACCGGTGCCCGATAGGGCACATGGCACAGCAGGAGAAAGGAAGGGGAACTCGCTAGACGATTGCAAACGACTGCAGTGTCGCTGACGGTGACGCTGCATGCCGACAGTGCGTGGCCACCTTGACGTTGCATGACGACGATGAGTGGCCAGGTGCGCCGAACTTGCCCTTCTCGGCCTCCTCATTCCTCATCCTCCTGCCCCCCCTCCTCCTCAGGATCACATGGGACCGAACGCCGAAGGGCGACGGAAGCTCCACAGATCGCAACAAGCATGTGCCGAACACCTGGCGGGGGCTCTCTACGCATCACGAAGTTCTTCGCCGAGAGCAGGAAGATCAGGGGAATATACTTTTGCAGATCGCTAGTCACGATCGACGACGCGGAAAACTGAAGAAGAGTAGACGGTTCACGAGACAAGGCGTGGGGCGGTGACGGCTGCAGTCTCATCTTTCGCGGCATGAGCGAGTGTAGACGCGCCGATAGTGGGCCTGCACGAACCGCACTGGTCTGCTGATCACGAGAGCACATGTCAACAACTTCACGGTTGGAACCTCATTCCTCCAGCTCGAGGTGCGCCCCAAGGGAGGAGGAGAGGAGGGGGAAGGGGGGTGCAGGAATGGGGGGGAGGGGGAAGGACGTAGGGCAGATGGGGGTCGGAAGGGGGTTGGGGGGGGGCAGGAAGGGACGGGGGTAGGGGAGTGGGCGGGGCTCGAAGGGCTCGGGGGCTGTGGTTGGCGAGAGAGCGGCGCAACCAGGAGCCTCTGGGGCGGATCCCGGCGGCTCCGACGGAGCCCCCCGTCCCTGCTGCATCCCTCTGCCTCTCTCCTCTGCCCCCCCCAGTGGGTCACCTTTTTATCCCTCCTCCTCCTCCACCTCCTCCTCCCCTCTTAGCGTGCTGGTCCTCCCCCACTCCCCCCTCTTCTTCCTCCTCCCCCTGTTCTTCCCCCACATCAATGTCCACTTCCACTTCCACCTCCTTCTCGAGCCTCTTCCACGTATTCCTCCTCCTCCTCCTCCTCCTCCTTCCTCCTCCTCCTCCTTCCTCCTCCGCCTCCTCCTCCTCTTCCTCCTTCCCCCTCCTCCTCCATCCCTCCTCATTATAAATAACTCCTCCCTGTCGCACCCCGAAGCTGGTCGACAGGGCGGGCTGGGCATTTCGCCTGAGACTTCCCAGCCATTTACGATCCTGAGCCTTAAACTTTGCAGCAGCTTCAAGGATGGATGGCGGTTGGTTTTCGAAATGTGGCTCTCGCCCTAGCGCCGCGTTCTTCGTCTTAAAGACTTAGCAACCGTTGTACGAATGCAGGGCTGGTCGTTTTCGAAACTCGGCTCTCGCATAGGCGCGGCGCACCCTCGTCTTAAATAGTTTAAAACAGCTTCACGGATGGAGGGCGGGTGGTTTTCAAAATGTGGCTCTCGCCTCAGCGCCGCGCACACTCGTACTAAAATCTTGCATGAGCTTCACGGATGCAGGGCAGGTCATCTTCAATAATGCGGCTCTCGCATAAAAGTCGCGCACACGGAGGGCGGGTCGTTTTCAGAATGTGGCTCTCGTCTTGGCGCCGCGCACGTCCGTCTTGGCACTTCGCATGAGCTTCACGGATGGAGGGCTGTTCCTTTTCAAGTGTGGTTCGCGCTTCAGCGCCGCGCACACTCGTCTTCAAAATGCGCATGACTTTCACGGATGGAGGGCGGGCCAGGCCGTTTTCATAATGTGGGCCTCGCCTTAGTGCCGCGCACATTCGTTTGAAAAGTCTGCAAGAATGTCACGGATGCAAGGCGGGTCGTTATCAAAATGCGGCTCTTCCGTTAGCGCCGAGAACATTTGTCTTAAGAGTTGGCAACAGCTTCAAGGGCTCTCATGGCGAACGTCCCAGAAATAATGTGCTGGCACGATGTCGGAATGTCAGGGCGCAACAATCACGTTCATTTTAAGGTCTTGAATACCCAGGAGCGCTGTTCTGGCACGATTCTGGATCGCCAAGGCAACATTAACGGTGATTCGCTTTGCGGCGTAGAATTCTCAGGAATGGTGTTCTAGTACAGTTCCCGAGTTTCAAACGCTTGTCTTCCAACGGGGCACTTCCCTCAATGAAATGGATTCTTGTTGGGGTCCGATGAAGCGGGAACTTGGAGGGGAGGGATTATTGCAATATCTTTGCTGAGTCTCGGGCTTACACTCGTCCTCCTCCTCCTCCTCCTCCCCCTCCTTCGCCTCCTCCTCCTCCTCCTGGCCGCGCCTCCAACGCAGCAGCCATGGCGGTGAAGCCGCTCCCAGAGGACCTGGCATGTCGACGGGCACGGCTGGTGCCCGCGACCGGGCTCCCCCCCTGGGCTCGCCCCCGGCTCGCTCCCGGTTTGCCCCTGTGGGGTGGCGAAAACTATACACATCCATTGCTCCGTGGCCAGGACCACCACCACCACCACCACCACCACCACCGCCCACCACCCTACACTCGCAGGGGGAGGGGGGGAGGGCCAGACCCCATGCCCACCACTGCACGCCCACAGGGGAAGACCCCACCACACCACGCCTACAAGGGGGGGGGCTCTCATCGCGCGGGGAGGGGGGGCCGATGGCATCAGCATGAGGGGGGGGGGACCCTGGACCATATATACACCACGCCCTCTTGGCTTGACCAGGAGGGAGTATACACAGCTACTGGGTTCAGTATGGGCCTGGCCAGGGAGCAATGGATAAGTACAGATTTCGTCGCCCGACCCTTACGTCACTCTTCCACGATTGGCGCCATCATCTGAGGCGGGAGGAAATCGTTGCTTATTCTTCGGCGATCGCCCAGGCTATCCGGTGAGGGGAGAGGGGGGAGCAAGTGCCGGCCGACGGCCTAGCCTTTTCGTTCTGGGCAAACCACATCTGCTCGCGCGCACCAGCACTGCGCACCCCTTCGGGCGCACCGGACAAGGTCAGTTCATCGGGGGGGAAAGGGGGGCGCGGGCGGGAAACTGTATCCGCCACAGCGCATGTGGTACGTCGTGCGTATGCAACATGCTGTTGCGGGTGGCTGTCCAGAATCTTCTGGCAGGGCAGACCCTTTTACCGCGCTCGCCCACTGGGCTCGCCCACGTCGGGGCCAGGTTCGGGCCATGTTCAGAGCGGTGGGGCCCCCCTTGGCTGCTCAAGGAGCTCTCTCGGCACGCTCCGACGCGCTAAAGATATCGCAAGCCCCAAGATGGCCCCAAGAGGCCACAAGGGGCTTCAACATCACTGCGCGAGCGGCCCGAAAGAAGCCAAATTGTCAAATCCAGCTGATATTGTGGCATTGCTTTGGGGTTCCGACAGCTTCAAGAGGAGTTCCAGCTGCCTCTGGCAGGGTCCAAGGGGCCTCAAGCGATCCCCAGACAACACTCCCTCCACAGGGGGCACGACGTAACGAATACTCCCACTGCCGCTCTCTCACCCACAGCACTCAACCCCTTGAACATCACCAGACAATGCCAACTGCTCAGTTCAATCAGAGGCTTCCCCGACACTGTTGGGAAGCCCTCAGCGGCTAATGCCGGAGGGACACTATTTCGTACGTGGCGTGCAAGATTCCCACCCAGACACATCTCGTGCTCTCAGCAGGATGGCTGCCCTTCTCCTGCCTCCCCTGACTGCGAGATGAAGCAGCGGGAGGAGAGAGAGGGACAGGGAAGGGGGACGGGAGAGGAGGGAGGACGGAAAAAGGAGGGAGGGAGCAGGGAGGACGGAGAGAGGAGGGAAGGCGGAGCCAGCGAGAGAAGGGAAGAGAGAAGGGGAGAGAAAGAAGTGGGGTTGGGCTAGGGGAGGGAGGGCAAAACCGAATGCGACATCCCGCTGGAAAGCACCGCTGGGGCATGGGGCACAGATCACGTGGCTAGGGCGTAAAAAGAGGTGATGCCCGCGTTTGGTCCCCCCTGCCAGCTCTATGAGGCCGACTCCTGGAAACCTTAATTCAAACATATACCACCCCTTGGGAAACGAACTCTTACGTCCGCCCGTCCGGCAGCATTCCGCCGGCGGAGCCACCCTCGCTCTGGTTCCGCCTGTTTCTACCGGCTTCCGCTGGCCTTCCACGGCCTCTGGCGAAGAAGAGAAACCAACCTCTCTATCCCTCGAAGACGAGCCCTCTCTGGAGCGAGTCCTCCAGACCCGTTCCTGCACTCTTGCCTCTAACTCCTGCCCCAGCCCTTGCCACGAACCAGCCCCATTCCTGCCGCCCTCCGCGAAAACGCTGCAGTGATCTCTCCTCGCTCTCCAACTGCACCCAACCCCTTCCTCTCCCGCCTCCCCCCTTTCCTCCCGTTCCCTCCCCTTGCCCGACCGCCCCCGCCGAATTCCTCACATCCCCAGCCCTCTCCTGGCCTATTCCCAACCCTCTCCCGGCCTGTTCCCCTTCCCTTCCCCTCCCTCCCCCGCCCGCCCCCCTCCCATCCCCGCCTCGCTCCGCTGCCCTCCGCTGTCCGTCGTCCTGCCCCGCCCCGCTTCTTGGCTCTTCCTGCCCCCCGTTCCCTCGGACTCCTGCTCACCAGCCGGGCAGCCGAAGGAGAACTGCACACTC